TTTTTTGTAAAATATAACAAACAATTGTACTTGTAAATGTATACAAAGTTTTTAAACTTCGAATATATATATATAATATATATATAAACACAGAGCTGGAAGGGACCCCCGAAGGTCATCTAGTCCAGCCCCCTGCACAATGCAGGGAATGCACCGCTACCTCCCCGCCCCACTCCCCCAGTGACCCCTGCTCTATGCCCAGAGGAAGGCAGGAAACCTCCAGAGTCCCTGGCAATGTTCCCTTTAAGCTGTGGTGTCTTGTAAGCAAAAATCCTACTTTGTGAGCTACTGGCATTAAAGTTGGGAGTGAGCGATTTGGCTGCTGCATAAATTAGTTTGCTCTGGAGCCCTCCTTCCTGAGCTGAGACAAAAGTGTGTGCGCCGGAGGCTAAAAAACTGTGAGCTAGCTCACACTAACTCAGCTTAGAGGGAACACTGGCTCCTTGGGCCAATTTGGCCTGGAGGAAAACACCTTCCTGACCTTAAAGTGGCGATCGGCATTACCCTGGGCATGTAAGAAGGGGCCACGAGAACTGAGCAGCCTAAAGGAGGGCCTGTGTTTGCCCCATCTTGCAAACACAGCAGAGCGGGATAGTCAGAGCATTAAGACCAGAGAGAGAGAGAGATGTGGGTTCTAATCCTCACACTCGGCTACAAATCTCTTTTGATGACCTTGGACCAGTGTTCCCTCTAAGCTGAGTTGATGTGAGCTAGCTCACAATTCTTTAGCCTCCAGCTCACATATTTTTCTCTTGGCTCAGAAAGGAGGGCTCCCAAGCAAACTAATTTATGGGGTAGCCGAATCGCTCACTCACAACTTTAATGCCAGTAGATCACAAAGTAGAGTCTTTGCTCACAAGACCCCACAGTTTGGAGGGAGCGTTGCCTTGGACCAGGGGTCATTTTGTAGAAAAAGAGGTGCTCATTAGCATAACTTATTTGCATATGCCACACCCCCTGACATCACCGGGTGTCAGAAGGCAACACCCACCGCTCAGGCTCCACTGGACTGTTTTGGATTGCTAGCTGCTGGGAGAGGGGGACGTGCAGATCTGTCCTCACAGAGGAGGGAGAGCTTGTACCTGAATAAAACCTGGTCTTAAAGGTGCCACTGGACTGTTTTGGACCCGGGGGGGGGGGCTCTGCAATTTACCTAGCTGCTTCTTGCTCTGACTGAGGGCTGCTGGGAGCAGGGGGCAGGGCTTGTTGCATGTGCCCGCCCCTGGGCTCTTTACTGCCGGAGCTCTGCTCCTGTGTGCTCCTGCAGGAAATGACCCCTGCCTTGGACCATTCAGAAACTCAGTCTTCCCTACCTCAACAAGGTTGTTGTGAGGGTAAAATGGAGGAGGGGACTCGGGGAGAGCTACATGTGCCACTCTGAAATCTTTGGAGTAAGAAGGGGGCTGAAAACACAACGGGTTTAGACAGAACAGGGACTGACGGGGTGGGGAGGGGATTTGCTCCTCTCCGCCACAGACTTGACAGGCTAAAGCCCCAGAGGATCATTGCAAAGTTACAAATTAAGCCCCAGTCTCCCCGTTTGCATCCCGGTGTTATACCATCAGCGGGGGGTGGGGGGGTGGGGAATCCATTGCAATTTATTATAACTTTGAAGGGGGGGAAACCATCCGTTTCCTTATTCTCCAGTAGAATGAAGATGATATTTGAGATTCAAGGCGAGAAGACTGTCAAGAGACACCAGGGATCGGGAGCGGGCCGTCCTTTAAAAGAAAATAAATTAATCTCCAGAGCTCAAACCGCTCGGTAGAGTGCTCTCAGAGAAGGAGATAAGCTGCGCCGGAAGAGTCAAGGGCGATAAGTAAGGTGAGGGGGGAACGTTCAGGGGGACCCCTTTCACAATCACCGGGGGACCCCCTTTCAGCTCACTGAGTTTGTGAGGGTCGAACTATTTTTAAAAAACAACGAAGAATGTATGCAGGGCGCACACAGAAGCATAGGATATCACAC